GAAAGAAGGAAGCATGAACTATCAAATGAATCATATTCTATGACACAGAGCTGAAAAGTAGAAACAAATCTATGGTTTAGTGAAAATAAATGTAACTCAAATCAACTTTATGGAATCTGCTACTTCTATTCGCCCCTTCCCTTATTTTAAACAGAATTAGGAATAAATATAAGTTGATTAAAATTCTTTTATTTTACAATTCACTGGTGGTAAGTTTGGTTATTAAATTGATTTATTATTTATTACAATTTATTCACTTTGTATCCCTGCTGTAGCCCCCCCATCTCCACCCAGTCCCACTCTCCTTTCCTCTTCTCCCCCATGCCCCTCCCCTAGTCCACTGATAGGAAGGTTCTCCTCCCCTGACCTTAGACTATCAGGTCTTATCAGGACTAACTGCATCAGCTTCCTCTCTGGCCTGGTAAGGCTGCCTCTATGCCCTATGGGGAGGTAATCAAAGAGTAAGCCATGGAGTCCACGTCAGAGACATTCCCTGTTCCCCTTACTAGGGCACTCCCATGGAGACTGAGTTGCCTATGGTTTACATTTGAGCAGGGGGTCTAGGTCCTCTCCATGCATGGTCCTTGGTTGGAGCATTGGTCTGTGCAGGGGTCCCTAAGTCCAGAATTTTTGGCTCTGTTGGTCTCCTTGTAGAGCTCCTGTTCCCTCCATTCCTTCTATTTCCTCCTACTTCCATATGATTCCCTGTACTCTGCCCAAAGTTTGGCTATGAGTCTCAGCATCTGCTTCAGTATCCTGATGGGTAGAATCTTTCAGAAGCCCTCTGTGGTAGGTTCTTGCCCTGTTCCCTTTTTTTTTTTTTCCTACTTCTGATGTCTATCCTGTTTGTCCTTCTGAATGAGGATTAAGCCTCTTCCCTAGGGTCATCCTTGTTTAGCTTCTCTAGGACTATAGATTTTAGTCTGTTAATCCTATATATTATGGCTAATATCCACTTATAAGTGAGTATATACCATGTATGTCTTTCTGCTTCTGGATTACCTCACTCAGGATTATCTTTTCTAGTTCCATCCATTTGCCTACAGATTTCATGATTTCCTTGTTTTTATTTTTAATCATTTTCATTCTTCATGTATTTGCCCTGATAGTACAAACATCTGACCAATAATTATGCCTTGTGTTTGTATATCAATCAAATTGACAATTAAGGACTGTAAAATAGTAGTCCTATAAGAGAGGAACTGTGCATTATTTTGTAGTTGCAAATTAGTAATTGTATCAGTTGAGTTATAAGATTATTTAAAAATTTTGTAATCCATGGCTGTATATAGATAAATATGTCTAGCAACACTCTATTCTATTGGGTATAAATATACAGGACAATCAACTTATAAACAAAGTTACATAGTTTAAGTCCAATTTTTGATTTCTATTGAAAATTAAAAAAAATAAAAAAATGTAACTAATAATAAAAATAAAAAATTAAAAAACAAAAAAAAAACAACAAAAAAAGAAAATGTAGCTATATTTTAAATACTATAGAAATTGAACTACTTAGGCATATAAAAAAAAATGAATTACACTTGTTTTGGAGGTCCATCTTTTTTGAAAGTTTATTTTTTTAAATCCTTACAGTTAAACAGTGTTTGCCATAGATATTATCACATATGCTCATATACGTAGAATATAAAGTGATACAAACATTGAAGATCTAGTTATAAGTAATCAGATAAATCACTGCTTTAAAAAACAGATACTGGACACATACATATATAGATTGTAAGTTTAATGATTTATCTAGGTAGTTATTATGTGCATACAAGATTAAAAACACTTCCGTGGTTTTCAAGTAATTAATATTTAAGAATAAAACACTGTTCAATTTCTGATATATGAAACATAAGAAGTCATGATGAGAGTCTTATCAATAAATAGTAACAAAAACAAAAAGTAAAATAAAATATAATAGAGGAACATAAATTTCAAAATTATATAAAGATGGAAAGGATTAAATACAATGTTTAGTAGATAAAATCAAACAATTTCTCAAGATTTTGAAAATTTTATGGATAGACTTTGAAGTACTTTTAAGACTATATTTGTTTGCTTGCTAGTTGCATTAAAAAAAAAATCCCACAACTTTAAATTTACATAGCAAATAAGACAGTTAACTATTTTAAGTAAACTCAGAAAATGTTAAACGTGGTTTTAATTGAATGCTCACAGCTTCTCAAGTTTTAAATATGTACAATTACATAAAAGTGAGTATGAGTATAGATCACCAACACAGAAGGAGTATGGAGGGATATTTAAAGGAAAAGGATGAATAGGATAACAGAAAACAACTGAATGCATGTAACATGAACTGCAAAGGGGACTACTTGAGGCAGAAGGGATTGGGGCAGACAGGAGATGGGAGAGTGAAATAGAGAGGATTAACAACAATGAACTATTATGAAAATGCCATAATGAAACCTGTTACTTTGTATGTTACTTATCAAAAACTTAAATGAAAGCAGGGGATGAAGAGATAGTTTAGTGGTTGGACCTGGCATCCATATCAATTATCTCACTACTGTCTGTAATTCCAGATCCAGAATATCTGTCACCTTCTTCTGAATTCTGTGAGCAATTGCACTAATGATATGTATATGTCCACATATAAGTAATAAAATAAATCTTTAAAAATGAATGTACACAGAACACCGAGAAAACAGATATTTGTATTTTCCTCATTTTAAGGAAACTAAACAAACTGCTTAAATGACTAGCACAGTATAGCGTGACACAAATACAGCACTTGGTTCCCATGCATAATTCCACAAACTCCTGAAATCCCCTAAGTAATAGGAGTATGATTTGCTATCCATTACAAGTCTCTAACTCACAAAGAAGACCTACTTAGCTTCAGGAGAGTACTGACCATCAGGAACACCGAGTTACTAGAATGTTGAGACTTTCAGTCTCACTCACAGATGGAGTGGGTTTGGAGTGCTACAGAAACCATTGAGCATTAAGATTCCCACAGCCCAGGAACTGGTGAATGCATGGGGTTGCTGTAATTGCACTGCATCTGCACAAAGCATGGGGGTTTTGTTAGCAGGCCCTCGTGCCGAATAATGCCTCTCTTCAAGGAAGCTACTTGAGTTGTATGCCTATACTAAGTTTTGTGTGCCATGCTATCTGATGATGGTTTGGCAGAGAGGAGGAGTGTGAATCCACAGCCTTTGTAGAAAAGCATTACAAAGTATACATAATCTGGGGAACTCAAGATTTACTGATGATATCAGAGGTAAAAACAGTCACTCGGAACTTCAAACTTGGATAATCTGAACAACTCCAGATTAGAATCTAATTCAAATGAAATGAAAAGCAACTGGTATATAAAGAATTAGAAAACTGATTAGTGTGAGAAAAACTTCCACACTTGTATCATCAATGTTAACGAAGGCAGCCCACCTATGGTTAGTTACTGTGTTGGTCAGTAGAAGAGAAAGAACTAAATTACAGAATTGTTGACATTACAGTAAACAAGATACCTGGAGATAGAAACTATTTTCTTATAATTAGAAATAAGCACATTACTTGGTTATGAATGAATTCCATGGCAACTTTTTCTATTTTTCTAATGCAAAAATAGTAATGTGGACATATCAAACCATCATATGGAAATTAGGGGCTCATTATCATTTAAACGATATCCAAACGATAAAAATTAATACTTTCATATTGGTAGATTCCTTAAAAGCATAAGATATGACCAAACATGTGCAGACAGAGTTTTTCTGCCGACTCCACGTTTTTATCAGTTAGACTCATGACATCAATGGTCAAATGACCACCTCAAGTGAGGACAAAGAAAGTTAAATGAATTATATAGGGATCATCTTTTGATTTATACAGTTGAAGTTAACACTGTCTCTGAATGCTTTAAAACATATTTTACTTTTAATTTCAATTATAATTGAAATTATATAATAATTTATAATGACATAATAAAATAATATTAAAAAGAAAGGTACTAAAATAGAACAAAAATTTAGGACTTGTTTAAAAGGTATATTTTTTAAAAACTAGACAGTAACTCTTAGAATTTAGAGATTTATTTGAAAAACAAATTCTAGGAGTCTACTGCAGTATTACTCAATTAGGAACTATTGAGAAGGGGTCCAGTAATTTGTAATTTTGCAAGCATTTGTGTGGACTCTAATGCTAGCCAGAATTTAAAAACATACAAAGACAGCAATTATTTAATAAAATGAAGAAAAAAAGAAGCCTGCCGAAAATAAGGGAGTAGATATAATAGATTTAGTATAATAGTAATATAATATAATACTGGTTTGGAAATAGAATACATAGTTAATATTAAGTTGATACTGAACCAGAAACATTTATTTGAAGGATAAAGGAAATTATAAGTTTCTACAATTCTGAATCAGTAACTGACATTTATGTTTTTTAAAAACAGAAATTGAAGACCCTCCCTGTACTCATGTTTTACTTTTTTTCTAAGTTCTCTGCTTGTGTTGAAGGTGCTCCTGTGCTGTCAAGCACAGGCATCTGTTACGCAGCTCAGATTATCTTCTGCATTTAAATACTGTTCACATTTGATGAAATAGTGAAAATATAGCACCTCTTCATCAATTTAATGTAAATTTCATTTACAAATATAGGAGTTATTTTACTGTATTTTAAGATAAACGACAAAGGTCTGTCAATAAAAGGGAAATCAGATCCAATTTGAATTACAACAGCAAAGCACATCATACCTGTGCCATTTTAACTTTCAAAACTTCTGCAGTTTAGATGCCAACCAGCAAATGAAGGATTAATCTCGAGAATAGTTCAAACTTCCTCATATGTAATACTTTCAAGCGTAAATTCAAATAAAGACAAAAATACTTCTATAGTTAAATATTTGTATTATTATAGTACTGAATAATATTGCTTATAAAAGTCAGAATATGGAAATAGTAAAAGGAATTGAAAATAAGATAAATAGTTTATTCCTTGAATATGAGAAAGGCATTCTATCTCACCTCTGGAGTGACATCTCGTGGTGCAAACCCTGTTCCTCCAGTTGTTAATATCAAATTAAGTTCCTTGTCATCACACCAGTCTATGAGCGTTTCCTAAAAGAAAACAAATATGCAGAACTTACTTGCTTGCTCAAAATCTAAGTAATTATTTCATAGATAGCAAAGAAACAAGATTCTTTCAATAGTGAATAAACACTTTTTTAGAGACAATTCCTAAAAAGTTTCACACTTGGTAAAAATAAAATGCACTTTGGGAGATTTATCTTGTTAGTTATAGAAAATGATGATACAAATGCCAAATTGCTTAAAGTATCTTAAATAAGAAATACCATAGTTTATTAATTCTATTTTATGCAGTTATATGGTGTATTTAAAGTTCTTTTCAATAATTCAAAATATTTCCAAGTTTAGAGAAATTGAGCACTATATGCTAATCACAAACTTATTATTTAATAACATTGATCCTAGCAATTAAATATTCATATTTAATCATATATGTAAAAAAGCCTAATACTTTTTTCTTATAATAGATTCAAAATAAGGAAACATGCTCATAGGCTCATGAACTAGAAGGAAAAGGAAGTAGATTTCAAACTGTGCCTGCTGGAATTTCAATTATGATTATCTCTATTTTGTCCATTAATGAATAAAAATGTATGCTCAATTTGAAAGTTTTATACTTTTCAATATTGATTTAAGACTTTCTTAAAAGGAAGTAGAGCTTAAATAATAGTTGGGTACCACTTCCAAACCATGGTCTGTGTTAGAATAAACCTAGGATAGGTAAAACAATAATGAATAATAAAAGAATTGCTTAAGTATCAACATCCCGGATCCTCAAATTGTACTACAGAGCGATAGTAATAAAAAGAGCATGGTATTGGCAGAAAAACAGATATAGTAATCAATGGACTCAAGTTGAGGACCTAGACATAAGCCCATAATCCTATGGATAACGTATATTTTTATAAAAAGAAGCCGGGAATGCACACTGGGAAAATTCAGTATCTTCAGAAGTGATACTGGTCAAACTGGATGGCTGCATGTAGAAGAATGTAAATATGTCCATGTTTGTTACTTTGTACAAAATTCAAATCCATATAGATCACAGACCTCAACATAAAATCAGATACACTAAGCATGATGACCTGCCTAATAATGTCAGAAAAGCTGTGGGGGTAAGGAACTAGTATCTGATTGCATTTAACGCCCAGTCCATGAAATAGATCCCATCCTTTACACTACTCAGGTGGCCATGAACCTGAAGATAGATAGGCCAGAGACCTAGAAGAACTATTACTACTATTCTGATAAAGGAACATAGAAATAAAATAACTTCGAATGGCATTCTGTTATATTCATAAATCAGACACTTTCTCCTGCAGTAGACAAGAAGAAATACAGAGAGACCCACACACGCAGAAGCTATGCAGAGAGTGAGAGACCTCAGACACTGAGCCCTAAATGCCATGTCTCCTTCAAGTCACTCCCCTCAGAGCATAGGGAACCCTCTGGAAGAAGAGGTGTAAGAATAAAAGATCCAGAGGGGACTGAGGACACCAAGGGAACAAGATCTTGTAAACAGAGCAGGACAAATGGACAGATGAACTCAAAAGAAGCTGAGGCAGCATGAACAGGGTCTTCAGGGGTCTGCAACAGATTGGGTCCAAGGGCTGAAAATGACAAGTGGACACATGCTCCCATCCTAAAACAAAAGCTATCTCCATGGATAACCACTGCAAATGAAAAGTTCCTTTTGTCCAAGCAACTCTCAGTGGGGAAACAAATTTCTTTTTAAGATAGGATGCTTTCTGAGCAGTAAATGTCCAGTAGAAAACAAACTCAATGGAACGTTTGAACGGTCCTTGTCCCATAATATCATTTCAGGGCTTCTTCTTTTTCTTTCATTTAATTTATAGCTTGTGATTTTGTGTATTTATAGAATTCCTGAATGTGTAAATTAGTAGGTCTCTGCATCTGTATCTGTCCTTTTGTGCCTTTTTTTGGTCTCTTGGTATTGTCTTCTGATTTGTTTGTTTAGTATATATTATATTATATTATATTATATTATATTATATTATATTATATTATATTATATTATATTATATTATATTATATTATATTATATTATATTCGCTGAAATGCTTGTTTATTATCAAAGAGACAGAAAACAGGTGGATCCTGATAGAAAGAAAGATAGGAAGGAACTTAAAAAAGAAAAAGGGGAGAATCCATAATACAATATAGTGTATGAAAAAAATTACTTTTAAAAAATTTTAAGGGAAAAATAATAAAAAATTGAAAAAGAACACTCTATAACCCAAGTAAACATGGAACCATTGACTCATTAAATCATTGATTTAATACAAAATTGTTTCATGGAATATATTTTGTTGTTTTGTTTTTTGAGACAGGGTTTCTCTATGTAACCCTGGATATCCCTGAACTCACTCTATACACAAGGCTTGCTTCAAACTCAAGAGATCCTCCTGCCTCTGCCTTCTGAGTGCTGGGGTTAAGTGTGTGCCACTACTATCCATGGATTACATTTATTCAGCCTAATCACTAGATAACAAAAGTACAAAGGTGTAAATAAGACATACTTTTCTCTCAGTTTCATTCAAGTGGAAGATCTACAAGTATGTTTTCTAGAACTCCTAGGAAAGCATCATTGGAAAACTGGCATCACTGTCATCTGGGAGCAGCTGGGATGAAAGAATCTCTGTCGCTTTCAAAGATCTATGGAACTGAATCCTACATTTTTAGAGATTCCAAAAGATGAGATGTACTAACTAACTATTATGAAGTAGTCCTTCTAACTTTATAATACTATACATTCTGAGTCACTTTTCTATCATGCTTTTTTAAATTAAAATTATTATATTTAGTCAGTTATCATCACAATTTATCACATTTAACTTACTAATTTGTGGCATCTTATTTAAAAAGCAATTTATCTTACTATGTTTGTTTTTGCATCTGTAATATCTCTGAGGAAGAAAATGCAGCCAGTTCTAATGAGACCTGATAGGCTAGGGTCAGATGGAAGGGGAAGAGGACCTTCCTTATCAGTGGATTTGGAGAGGGAAATGGGAGGAGATGGGGGCGGGCAGGATTCAGAGGGAATGAGGGAGGGGGCTATAGCTGGGATACAAAGTGAATAAAGTGTAATTAATATAAAAAAAAAACCCTTTTTCATGCTTAAACAGGCCTTAGTACATGACTGTCTCTAATTTTTTAAAAATTTATTCAATCACTTTAGAACTTGATCCGAGGCTCCTCCATCCTCTCCTCCCAGTCCCACCCTCACACACCCCTCATCCCATTCCTAGCTCACCGCAGAGAAAGAGGCCTCCAATGGGGACCAATCAACCCTGGCACCTTGTCTCTGCATTTTAATCTTTATTCCTGAAATTTTTTAAAATTAAGCTCTACATTACGAACTGGCTATTATTCAAATATTATTCTGATAATATTCACATAATAATGTGAAAGATAAGAGAGACGTTTAAAGGAGAATGTAGTAATGTTCATAATATGCTATATTTCATATATGAATTTAACAAATCTAATATTTGGTTTAAAAACTAGAAACATATACTAAGAAATAATACATAGATTTAGATGGAAGTTAACTATACCATAGTAAAAAAGGTATTAATGAAATATCAGTTTTTTATTTAGAAGGATCATTATTTGGTATATATGATTTCTTACAATAAAAACAACTCCAGGCAACTAAGGAATGCTCAGAGTGGGTGAAATAGTGTTTTCCAGTGAAGAATACACCAAATGGTTACTTATACAAAATGCCCGGAAAACATATATGAGTGGTGTATATGACTGAGCAGGCTATATTTAAGAATATATATATGCATACACACATATATGTGTATATATACATATAAAAACAGTTAATAAAATATGTCATCATTGTTTTTAATTTTATTTGTTAATATTAATCACAGGTTATATACTTTGTATCCTAGCCGTACCCCCCTCTTTTATTCCCTCCCAAAACCATGCTCCCTCCCTCATCTCCTCCCTGCCCCATTCCAAGTCCATTGATAGGGGAGGTCGTCCTCCCCTTCCATCTGACCCTAGCTTACAAAGTATCTTCCGGACTGGCTGCAATGTCCTCCTCTGTGGCCTAGCAAGATTGTTCCTCCCTCAGGGGTGAGGGTAGGTAAAGGATCCAGTCGTTGAGTTCATGTCAGAAATAGTTCCTGTTCCCCTTACTAGGGTACCCACTTGGTTACTGAGCTACCAAGGGCTACATCCAACCAGGGGTTCTAGATTATATCCATACATTGTCCTTGGTTGGAGAAACAGTCTCATAGAGGGCCCCTATGCCCTGATATATTCTGTCCTTGTGGAGCTCCTGCCCTCTCTAGGTCATACTAACAACCCTTCTTTCATATGATTCTCTGCAGTCTGCCCAAGGTTTGGTTATGAGTCTCTGCATCTGCTTTGATACACTGATAGGTAGAGTCTTTCAGAGGCCCTCTGCAGTAGGCTTCTGTCCTGTTACTTGTTTTCTCCTACTTCCTCTGTCCATACCATTTGTCTTTCTAAGTGAGGATTGATCATCTTATTCTGGGTCCTCTTTCTTGTTTATCTTTTTTAGATGCACATATTTTAGTATGTTTATCCTATCTTATAGGTCTATATAAGTGAGTATATACGCAACAAGGACATTTGCTCAACCATGTTTGTAGCAGCTTTATTTGTAATAGCCATCTATTACAATACAGAAACAAACCAGATGACCATCAATGGAGGAATGCATACAGAAATTGTGGTACTTTTACAGAATGGAATACTACTCAGCAATTAAAAACAAGTAATTCATGAAATTTGCAGGCAAATGGTGGGATCTAGAAAAGATCATCCTGAGTGAGGTATCCCAGGAACAGAAAGACACACATGGTATATGTCATGCATTTTAAGAGAGCTAGGACTATATGGTTGGTTTGGAGGGAGGAAAAAGGGGAAAATAAAATATAATTATATTGTAACCTCAAAAATAAAATTTTTATAGTTTATGTATTTATGTATTTCTTTATTTATAACAATTTGTTCACCTTGTATCC